CCAGAGAGTTTCCAAGCAGCGATCGAACACCGAGATTTTCCCGCTGGCCCGGGCTGGGAGTGCCTGGTCTTTCTGGGTCTAAGAGCGCAAGGCTCGCACGCACCTCCCTTAGGGGAGGGTGAGGGGCGCGCTTGTCTCAGTTCTGTAGCACGTCTCATGATTCTGCCATCTGGGAGGCTCCCAGCCCCTCACAGGAGCGGGACCCCACGCATTCTTGGGCGCCTGGCAGCTCAGGGACCAAGACCTGGTTTCTCCGCGGCACTCTCTCTGGCTCAGTGCCAGGGGAGGCTGCCCTGGGTCTGGGGACTTAAGTCCCTGTCCCTAGCCGCCCCATTCGCACAATTCCACGCCCCCCCGCCCCCCGCTATTCTTTGCTCTTTTGCAGTGCTTTCAACCAGTCTCCAAGTTAATGCTTGTCCCCAGATGCAGGGCACTCTCGTATTAGGGGTATTACTTTCTAATAGGTCACCTCTGGTGGCTCCCTCCCCCTTTTGTTTATCTTCCGATATCAGTCTACCTTTCCCACTCCACTTTACCTGCCCACTGGCGTCTTCTGCCCCTGTAGAGATCCTGACATGTATAACTCTGATCTCAGGCTGATTTCATGAGTGATCAGAGTTCTTTGGTAGGTAATCAGCTCACTTTAGGGTACAGGTTGAAACGGCCCCTCCCCCTACTTCCCTGCCATCTTGTGGAACCATTCTGATATCCTTTTGTAAGATAAAAAATTATCCATCCTCTCTTTAATCTGCAGGTGTCTTTAAGTCTAAAATGAATCTCTTGTTGGCAGCATATTGATGGGTTTATTATTTTATCCATTTCAACACCTTATGTCTTTTGATTGGAGCATTTAGACTGTTTATATTCAGAGTAATTAGTGATAGATACATATTTAGTGCCATTTCATTATTTGTTTGTTGTTTCTGGACATATTCTGTGTTCCTTTCTTGTCCTTTTCAGTTTTGGTCTTTCCTTTACACTCAAAGAGTCCCCTTTAATATTTCTTGTAGGGATGTTTTAGTGGTTATGAACTCCTTTAATTTTTGCTTCTCTGAGAAACTCTTTTTCTCCCCTTCTATTCTGAATGACAGCCCTGCCACATAGAGTATTCTTGGCTGCATATTTTTCCTATTTAGCACTTTGAATATATCTTGCTTCTGTCTTGCCATGTTTCTGTTGAGAAATCTGCAGCTGGCCTTATGAGTCTCCCCTGTAAGTTAGGGAGTTCTTTATCTTTCTGCTTTAAGATATTTTCTTTATCATTATATTTTGAAAATTTAATTACAGCATATTCTATCGTTGGCCTGATGTTGTTGATTTTGATGTGAGTTTTCTGTGTGTCTCGGATCTGAATAACTGTTTCTTTCTCCAGATAAGGTAATTTTTAGCTATGATTTGCAGAAGCAAATTTTCTGCTCCCTTTTCTCTCTTCTTCTGAGACTGCTAAAACACAAATGTTATTACATTTGATGGAGTCACTGAGTTCCCTAAAAATATTCTCATGTTCCATAATTACTTTTTCTCTTCTGTTAAGCTTCATTATTTTCTATTATTTTGTCCTCTACATCACTTATTCACTTTTTAGTGTTCATTCCATCAAGTTAGTTTCCAATTTCAGTTATTGCATTTTTCATTTCTGAGTGATTCTTTTTTTTTTTTAACTCTTTTGTCTCTGTGGTAAGGGCCTCCCTGAAGTCTTCCATTCTTTTCTCAAGCCCAGCAAATATCCTTGCTACCTTAATTTCTCCATCAGCCTTGTTACTTATATCTGTTTCACTTGGATCTCTGGCTGTGACCTAATCTTGTTGTTGCATTTGGGATAAATCCTTGTCTTTGCATTTTTTTCTAAGTATCTGTCTTCTTCTCTGTGTTAGAAAAGCCAGTCATATTTCCTGCACCTGAGAGTAATGGCTTTATGAAGAAGAGGTCATACAGTATCCATGGACTGGAGCTTCAGGGACTGTCACTGGTGTGTGCTGCATGTGCTCTGCTATTGTGTCTTGCTGCTCTATCCTTCAGACCAGTCATCCTCAGAGGTTCTCCTTGCCTGCAGTGGGCAGTGTTTGGACCTTCCCCCAAATATGGCAAGTTTTAACTATGTGTGCTCTGGTCTGCTATTGAAATGAGAGCTAATACTTCTTCCACTAGAACTGAAGCACTGCAGAGTTTTCTGGTCAGGAGATGTGGTGTGGGCAGGGGTTTCTCTGGTCTTCTACAGAAGGGGCCCACCACACTGTGATTGATGCAAGCTTGACTGAGAAGGGCAGTACCCACCAGAGAGCAATGGTGTGGGACCTGTTGTAAGCAGCTTGTTTTGGTGTTGTAGTGTTTCCTGCAGGTTGCTCTTTGTTTATGCTGGGGGGCTTGGGCAGGGGAAATGGTGCCAGATATCTTGTCCCTGGAGGGGTACGTCTGTGCACACTGCCTCTCAGGAAAGCCCTCCAAGAAGAGCAAATAATCTCCCCACCATGTGTCCCAGGAATTTTTCAGATTGCTGTTTCCACACTCCGGGTTGTATACTGCCTTCTCTTTGGGAGCAGCACAGTACTCTTCAGGCTCTATCCCAACGAAGCCTGCTGACTTTATTTTCTTTTTAAGAGCAAAAGCCATATTTTATTCATCTTTGCACCCTCTAGGGCACCCAGCACAGTGCCTGGAGAAAATGGAGTTAATTGTTTTTTGAATAAACTCTGTTTCCATATTTGGGTTTCTCTAGTTTCTTCAATTCAGATCATTTACATAAGTTTCTTCCTCATTTCCAGATAAATTTTATATGTAATAGCATTAATGAAAATTGTGAAAATACAAAAGTATCTATGTGCAATACCACAGTATTATGTCCAATGTATGTATAATTACCCTGTGGCGAGGTGCTCATCAAGGAACATCAGCAGGTGGGATAGTTCTTCCTTATGTGGACTGGCCAGCATACTGACCTATCCTTTCAAATGCCAGCGGGTCCCTCCATCATTTTGGCAAATCAAAAAGGCCAGTATAGTTAATTTTTCAAAATATTAACCACAAATGCATCTTCTAAATTGAAAATGAAAGTTCATTAGGTGCTTATTTGTTTTTTTTAAATTTTTATTTAAATTCAATTTAATTAACACAGTATATATTAATATTTTCAGAGGTAGAATTTAGTGATTCATCAGTTGTATGTAACACCAAGTGCTCATTACTTCAAGCCTGCTGACTTTTAAAACTCTAGGGTTTAGTAATGTGGTGTGAGTCGGGGCCTGTACTGGTCTGCTTGTGCTGGGATTGAGGTGAGCTTGACAGAGAAGAACAGTTGTGCCAGAGGGCGGGAGGGTGGGATTTGGTATAAGCAAGTTAAGCAGCCAGTGTAAGGGCAGAGCTGCCCTCTGTAGGTAGATCTGTGTTTGTGTTAAAGGGTCAGGGAAGAAAGAGGCACCAGCCAACTCCTTTGTCCCCAAAGAGGCGTCTCCATGAACTCTGCTTTCAAGATGGTGTTCCAGGAAGAGCGAGTAATCTCCCCTCTATGTGCCCCATGCCGTGTCCCCCTTGGTTGTTTGCTTGCCTCTCTCCAGGAGTAGGAAGCTCCCTCAGAGCTCTATCACAGCCAAGCATGCCAAACTTTAAAACAGCAGTCTTTAAATGCCCCTGGTTAGAACTCATGAAAATCAGCTGTTCCCATTTTCCCAGCCAATGGTTTTGGGGGTGCATTCCCCTGTGTGCTCCTCTCTTGTCTTTCTCCATGACCATGGCTCCTTCTTTCCACCAAACCCCTGATCCATTTCTCCCCCAAACCAAGTGTCCACACTTCCTAGCTTCTTTGATGTGCTTCCTCTCTCCTTAGTTGTGGAGTTTTTTCTTCTAGTCTTCAGGTTGATTTCTGGAGTATTTAGAATGATTTGATAATTATCCAGCTGTGTTTGAGAGACAAAATGAGTCTAGAGTCCTACTCCACCACCATCTTAGCTCCCATCTCTGCCCTCCCACCCCCAGCTAACAACTTTTCATAGTTGTACACACGCCTGGTGTTCATCAGGCCATGAGTACTTTCTATGGATTTTTCCACTTAAATGCATATTTTTTTGACCTGACCCAAAGCCTTGTAAGTTCATGTACAATATGTATTGGCTAAGTACTTGTACAAAATGGATTTGCTTATGCTTTGTGGTTGGGCCCAAGTTTCTGCTATTAAGAAGAATAAATTTGTGCCAATTGTTTTTCCTATTTTTTGGCAGTTAATTCCCTTGGCCTGTTCCCCAAAATGGAACCACTGGATCAACAAGTATGAACTATCTCAAATGTATGATTTTACATTTAATCAACATTTTTCCAGAATTCTTTATGGCTATATAGATATAATTTTTATGGCTATGTAGATAGAAAAAGCCCAGTGTACAGTGCTTCCAGCAAGTGCATTAGTGTCTCTCATGCCAAAACCCCTGCTAAATCCATTTCATAAAAAATTATATATATTTATTTTATATTGACTAACCTGGAAACCAGAGACATAGATGCAAGGAGGCAAGTTAGGGGACTGCTGTGATAGTCAATATCTAAGTAAAAAGGGTCTGAGTTTGGGTAATTATGAATTTAACACATTCAAATTCATCATCAATAATTGACTAAATGCCTACTATGTGCCAGGCTTATACTAAAAATGTTAGTATCTAATTAAAATTTTAGTATCTTTGTAACATAATGTATTATTGGCCTTCATTATATAGATGAGGTAACTAAGACTTAGCAAATTGATATGACGTACCCTAGGTCACAAAAATTGAAGTTCTAGAGCTGGGTTTCAAACAGACTTTCTGAAGGATTAAGCTGTTGGAAGAATTACACACACACACACACAAACACACACACACACACACACAGAAAAGAAAAGAAAAGAAATCCAGAGTTGTTAGTGACCCAAAATAAGTGGGCGCTAAGGGAGGTAGCCCAGATAACTCCAATACTGGGTGCTTGTTCATGAATAGTGTTCCATTTGGCTTATCATTCAACTATGTGCTCTCTTTCAGGAGACTCTGACAGTTGCAGCAAAGTGCGGCCTCCAGGAGAAAAGCCTACCATTGTTCGTCCCCCAGTGAGGCCTCCAGATCCTCCGTGCCGGGCAGCTACTCCCCAAAAGCCAGAACCAAAGCCAGATATTGTGGTTAGCAATGCAGGGGAAATCCCATCATCTGTGTAAGTAGAGTTTTTCCTAAACCTTGACGTAAGGCTCATCTTAGGCCACCAGGAGTTATTTCAGGATCTTCATAATGGTTTTGAAGGGTACACAGTGCACAACCCCAGGATATCATTCACTTCATAGTCTAAGGAAATTTCACAGACAAACCCTGTTTGTACTGTTCCACTCAGCACCCAAGGGTGAGAGATTGAACTAATGCTGCCCCGATTTATGTAGGGTGATAAGATTACCTTCTGTTTTCATGCTCCCTTGGCTCTGGAAGTTTTTCATACTTTCTTATTATTGCTACTGTTTTTTAAAGAAATTTAATGAACAGATTTGTTCATTGTACTTGTGCCTTCAGGCTTTCTTTTTAAATCAATGATATGATTTTTAAAATATCTTCCAAAATGACTCAGATTCTCCAGAGAGCCTCTTGTAGGGTAAGAACTGAGCCAAGGTACAGCAGGTTTTCCTGAAGTGGGACTGGAAGCCAAGGAACAAGGTATAAAGCAGCTAATGCAGGGCCACAGCACCTCTCAAGGACCAGCCTTGTATGGTCGCAACTAGCCTGACTGGTCCCTCTTCAGCTAGTGTTTGGGACCCCTCTCATACACTGCCTCCCAGTATTCCTTTTTCTTGTGTCTCTTGTTTTCCATAACTGTAAGATGTGGGAATAAGAATAACAAAGCCTCTATCATGTTGATTAAGTAGCTAAGTATATTTATGAAAATGTCAAAAATTTATACATTGAACCCAAGGATTTGTTTCACTTATTTCTCAAAAGAATAACCTGAATAAAAAACACATTTAGGCCACTCTGAACCATGGGAAAGCAAAGGGCATTAGACATAGCCTTGGGGGTGCTTATGGTCTCTGAGTCATTTCACATTCTGATATTTGAGTTTCTCCTTAGACCCAGGTCCTTTGCAAGTGAGGGAAGACCCTTCAATTGGTGCCCTGTCTGGTTTATAATTTTTGTCTTGTCCATTGTCTTTTGGTTTTCATACACAATCCAGAGCAACTCATGAGACTTATTGGCCTCTGTTTGCAGGGTGGCTTCCAGGACCAAGTTTTTTGAAACAGCTTCCCGAAAAACAGGAAGGTAAGACACATAGATGACAGAAGAGAAATCATATTACTTTTTACTAAATGGATCATGAGCATCACAGTTGCTCTTACATTCTATTTTTCTGTTTCTCTGCAGCTTCATCTCTGTCTCTCTGTCCCTTTCTCTCCCCTAGTTCTGTCTCTCTGTTTCCTAGTCTCTCCCTGTACATCTGTTTTTGTCTCTGTACATATGTTTCTCTGTGTTTGTTTTTCTGTCTCTCTCATGCTGTTTCTTTCTCTGTGTCTTTGTCATTCTCAGTCTCTTTCTGTCTCTCTTTGTGTTTTTGTACTTATATCTCTGTATCTATCTTTGTCTCTCTGTCTCCCTATTTGTTGGTTTTACTCTTTTTCTGTATCTCTTCCCTCTGTCTCTCTTTCTTTGCCTGCTTCTGTATCTGTTGTATCTTTCAGTCTCTATGTTTTTCTATCTCTTCCTCTCTTCTGCTTCTCTCTCTCTCTGTCTCTCTCTCTCACACACACATACAGTACTCACATGCTAAGTAAAATTGCACAAAAGCATGACATTCAATGTAGGTCTTATTTTTTTGTTCATTTACTTATTTAGACTCTATTCTAAAAGGGCAGCTAATAGGAATATATAGAACGTAACACTCTAACCTAAATAGCCTTCGAATAAGCATAGCTAAACATTAGGTGGTGTGATATAAGTAACCTTGAAACAATTGAGGGAACAAAAATACAAACAGGTTCTTGCTTTCTACTCTAGACCCACTAAAACAGAATCTCCAAGAGTGGGACCTGGGAATCTATTTTTTTTGTTTGTTTTATTTCCTTCTTTTCCACCTTCCTTCCAGTTAGTTTGTTTTTAAAACTTCTAAAGTATTGGTACAAATTGTCCAAAGCCTGGCATTTGGGACCCTTTAGACAAAAATACCTAAAGAAATAGTTGCTTAGCTTTTAGGGACCCTTTTGTGAGTTTGCTTCATGTTGCTTTTTAGAGAGTTTGAAATTGTGCTTCCTGATGGGTGATAAGAGTATAAATCTTCTAGGTGGTCAGTTAAAATAACAATGTGCCTTTACCAGGAGTGGAGCTAGGGTAACTTTAACATCATTTTGTCAAAACTGTGAGACCTAACTCACCAAGACATGATACCACACAGCAAGTCACCCTGGTTGTGCTTGGCAGTCAGCCATTAACCCAGGTCCAATTTTCCTTTGAAAATAATTTGCTATTTATTCTACCATAACAGATAAAAATGGGGTCAAGCTCCCAGATTTCTCTTACCAATACAGTAAAGTGTGTGCCAAAGATGATTTTAAATCAGGCTTAGTCAAATATGCCTCTTGAGGAAAAAAAAAAAAAAGAAAGAGAGAGAGAGAGATGGAGACACTCTTTAATGCTCTTAATATAGTACCCACCTGTGAGCAGGACCACTTCCTATTTCCTGGTAATCCTTCCTTCCTCCCTAGAATAAGTCATACGAGTAATAGGTTCCAAGGAAATGGAATGAAGTAAACTAGAATTAACAGAGTAAACTGGATATATCTATAAGAAGGCTCTTTTAGGGCGCCTGGGTGGCTCAGTGGGTTAAGCCTCTGCTTTCGGCTCAGGTCATGATCCCAGGGTCCTGGGATCGAGCCCCACATCGGGTTCTCTGCTCAGTAGGGAGCCTGCTTCCCCCCACTCTCTCTCTGCCTGCTGCTCTGCCTACTTGTGATCTCTCTCTGTCAAATAAATAAATAAAATCTTTATTAAAAAAAAGAAGGCTCTTTAGAGGAATTGGTATCTAAGTTGGGACTTAAAAATGAGTAGAAATACACCAAAAATATGAGGAATTCATCTGAAGCCTTGGATAGGGAACCAGCATATTGAGAGAGAATATGTAAGTGATATGAACAAACTCCAATAGAATCTTTAAGGCAGACCAACTTCTTTCTTTCTTTTTAAGTTAAATTTTATTTCTTTCAGTGTTCCAAGATCCATTGTTGATACAACACACCCAGTGCTCCCTGCGGCGATACATGCCCTCTTTAATACCCACTACCAGGCTCACCCATCCCCCCACGCCCTTCCTTCCAAAACCCTCAGTTTGTTTTTAAGTGTCCACAGTCTCTCATGGTTTGTCTCCCCCTCCGATTTCCCCCAATTCACTTTTCCTTTCCTTCTCCTAGTGTCCTCCATGTTATTCCTTATGCTCCACAAGTAAGTGAAACCATATGATAATTGACTCTCTCTGCTTGACTTATTTCACTCAGCATAATCTCCTCCAGTCCCATCCATGTTGATACGAAAGTTTGGTATTCATCCTTTCTGATGGAGGTGTAATACTCCAGTGTATATATGAACCATATCTTCTTTATCCATTCATCTATTGAAGGGCATCTTGGCTCTTTCCACAATTTGGTGATCGTGGTCATTGCTGCTGTGAGCATTGGGGTACAGTTGGCCCTTCTTTTCACTGCATCTGTATCTTTGGGGTCAGATCTTTGGGGTCTTTTGGTTAGTAGTGCAATTGCAGGGTCATAGGGTAGCTCTATTTTTAATTTTTTTAGGAATTTCCACACTGTTTTACAAAGTGGCTGCACCAACTTGCATTCCCAACAACAGTGTAAGAGGGTTCCCCTTTTTCCACATCCTCTCCAATACTTGTTGATTACTGTCTTATTAAATTTGGCCATTATAACTGGTGTAATGTGGTATCTCATTGTGGTTTTGATTTGAATCTCCCTGATGGCTAATGATGATGAACATTTTTTCATGTGTCTGTTATCCATTTGTATGTCTTTGGAGAAGTGTCTGTTCATGTCTTCTGCCCATTTTTTGATGTGATTATCTGTTTTTTGAGTGTGGAGATTGAGGAGTTCTTTATAGATATTGGTTATCAGCCCATTGTCTCTAGCATCATTTGTGAATATCTTCTCCCATTCCGTGGGTTGCCTCTTTGTTTTGTTGACTGTTTCCTTTGCTGTTCAGAAGCTTATGATCTTGATGAAGTCCAAAAACTTCATTTTTGCTTTTGTTTCATTTGCTTTTGGAGACATGTCTTAAAAGAAGGTGTTGTGGCCGATGTCAAAGAGGTTACTGCCTATGTTCTCTTCTAGGATTTTGATAAATTCCTCAGGCCAACTTCTAATAGGTAAACTATAGCCAAACTGATGTTGAGACTGTGGAAAATTGGTAAATTCTGTCTGAACTTTGTCACCTACTGCTCTGGGAATTCTTGGACCAACCCAGAAAATAAGGGGGCTAATGCCAAACCAGGCACTGCAGGCTAGAGTACCACTCTACATATCTGCTATTTAGGGCTCTGGAACCTAAATTTAATCCTGTTCCTTAACCCCAGATTCCATCTTGGCAGGAGTGTGGACAAGAGTGAAGTGGATACACCTGTCCTCCAGTGTGTCATGAGCCATAAAGCCAAATGGGTTTCTCCCATTTATATCCACATAGGAAAAAACACCTCTTCTGTCTATGGTCCCAACTTGTAACCACCACTTACACCAGTACATCTACATGCTGGACACTGGTCAAGATCCTCAGATTCTTCACATCAGTACCATCTACAGACATTGTTTGCAAGCTCTTCTCTCATCTCTGATGAAAATAATGATCTGTTTCAATTTTGATTTTACCTTTATGCTTCCCATTTTTACCTGACTGTAGCCTGACATTTGAATCATGTCACTTCCTCATTCATCTGTCTTCATCAACCAATAAAAAACTTAGAACTTATATGAAAATGAGAAGTGGTCCATCAAGAAAGAGAAAGAAGGGGAAGATGGTTCAGCAAGGCAGAACAGCTTATGCAAGACAGGTTCAGTAAGTGATTAGTGTTGCACTTTGGCTACAGTGTGGGGGTGAAAAGAGGGAAGCAAACCTGGAGCTGAGGCCAGAAAGACAGACTTGGGCCAGATTGTAAAGACCTTACAGGACATAATAAGGTAAGGAATTTGGTCTTTATACTATAATCCTTAGGGAATCATGGAACTTGTAAGCATGACAATGCATATTCAGAGATGACTGCATTGTAAAAAGCAAAACAAAAGAAAATAAAACAAAAACAAAAAACCTCATTCTTTTAATAATGGTAAGATAGATAGGAAAGCAAGGACTGGAGACAGAGATCAATTAGGAGACTAATCATCATCACAACAGTTGATGAGGCCCTAACCTATGGCATTGCCAGTGAAATGGAAAAGGACAGATGTGAGATAGATGCAAAGAGACCTGTGACTTTTCAAACATAGAGCATTGGTTAGTCTCCCCTTCCGATTTCCCCCAACTCACTTCTCCTCTCCAACTCTCAATGTCCTCACATGTTATTCCTCATGCTCCACAAGTAAGTGAAACCATATGATAATTGACTCTCTGGTGGTGGGTATTAAGGAGGGCAGGTTTATGCACCACACCCAGTGAATTGAATCTTGGAACAACATTGAATCTTGGAACACTGAAAAAAAATTAAATTTAATTAAAAAAAAAGAAATGTATCCTAAGAAAATTATCATATACGTAAATTATCATGTAAGTGCATGAAGGTTAACTTATAAGGTTATTCATTGCTAGACTGCTTAGAATATAAAAAAAGAAGTAATTCAAATGGCCAATGAGAGTTGATTTAAATAAATTATGGTACACACACACACACACACACACACACACACATACACACATGCATTTGATGGGTAACTGGGTGGCTCAGTCAGTTAAGCATCTGCCTTTGGCTCAGCTCATGAAACCAGGGTCCCAGAATTGAGCCTCACATTGGGCTCCCTGCTCAGGAGGGACTCTGCATCTCCCCCTCCCTCCCATACCACTTGTGCTCTTGATATCTCTCTCTCTCGCTCTCTCAAATAAATCAATAATATCTGAAAAAAACATGGAGCACTGGAGAAGGATTAAGAGGGAAAAAAGTCTAACTTGGAAAATTAAGTAGATGGTAATAATAATTAATCATCAAAGAACAGGTTTTGTGGGAAAGTTGCTCTCCTCAATTTTGGACACAGTGTTTTTGAAGACCCTGTGAGATATCCAGACAGAAATGCCCAGGACAGGTTGAGAGAAAAATGGTAGTGGAGTAGGAGGACCCTTGGCTTGCCTCATCCAATGAGCACACTAGATAACTAAAAATCATTCTAAATATCCCAGAAATAGACATGAAGACTGTCAGAAAAACTCCTCAAGTGAAGGGAGAGAAGAGGCCACATTGAAGAAGGTAGGATGGGGAGAGAGGAGGCTTAGGGGAGAAAGGGATCCCAGGTGCTGTGGAGGGGAGGGCATTGTAGTCATAGACAAAGGCAAGAGAGAGACCAGCACACAGAGGAATGCACAAAAAGAACATTTCCCTAAAGTCATTGGCTTAAAAAATGAGAATGGTTGATTTTCCTGAATTCTTTCACCCAGAGGGGCTTAAAACCTGGAGTTTTAAAGGAGAATGGGTTTGGTTGAGCTAGAGGCCTGGAGGCACTGTGATGCTTCTGGAAAGAAGGCAGGCAAACAACCCAGAGACAGACAGCATGGAAAAAGTGATCTGAAGAACACCTGCAGAACACAGAGGGGAGACTGTTCACTTTTCTCACAGTACACCTCTGAGAGACAGTGTTCACAGACATACCTCCAGAACAGAGGAGCTGGCTGGTGCCATTTCACTGCCCACCCCTCAGCATAAGCACAAAGCACCTACAGGAAACACAACAAACAAAGCCTAAAACCAGGGGAAAGAAGGAAATAATAAAGACTAAAGTGAAAATAAATGAAATAGAAGCTTAAAAAATAAAAGAGATCAATGAAAGCACGAACTGTTTATTTGAAAAAAGTAAATAAAGT